AAAAGACACTTGTCCTTACTTAATCACTCAGTACTTACTCATTAAGTGTGGAAGACAGGGTAATTTGTTACTATTACTTGATTTAATAATATGCTAGCTTCCACCCGTGGCTTCGCTCGCGGGGTATGTTGATAAAAAGCAGACTGTGTATATTTTAATCCACCAAATCGGTCCAGCCGTTTTTGAGTAAAATAATAACAAACATACATATACTATACATACTCAGAAACCCCCGGTTTTGCACGAGCTATTTAAGACTTTTTATGCAATGTCCTAATTTTGGTCGCTAGTCGTTACAGTTGTTTTACAATCAGCGGGAAACGCCCGGGTGTCGTCATTGTAAGGATCACCCGGAAGACACATTGGAGCATACAGTGGCGGTGTGCCCTGTCTGGACTGAGCACCGCTGTCTCTTTAAGGAAGTGATCAGCAGTGGCGACCATTCCCGTCCGGCCTTTGTCGAGGCCATGATGCGGAGCAAGAGGAACTGGGAAGCCGTCTTCTCTTTCTGCGAAGTAGTGGTGCTCCCAGAGAAGAATACGGAGCGCGAGGGAACTAACATTGTTACGCCCCAGCCACCGCAGTAGACGATACTCCAGGCATCAGGGATCGCGAGACGATCTCTAGCGATCGCAAGCCACAGATGGAGTCCAACAGGGCGAATGTTCAGCTAGTGTCAGGAGAAGGAACAGGGTGGTTTTTTGTCAGTAAGAGTCTGACATTCCCTCTCACCCCACCCTTTGCGAGAACAGTCATTTCATAATCACATTTTGCCTCAATTATAATCCAGATTCAAAAAAAACAAACATTCACCAAAGCAACTTATCGAAAAATTCACACGTTCGTATAGATATGAACAAAATAAACAAAATACAAAAAAAAAAAATACCGCATCCATTCACCCCCAACTTCGGTGTCGGTACATTCACGAACAAAAGTGTATATCGACCTGTCAATTAGGCCTTAAGATTATCATCTCCGAAGTTGTATATGGCGTGATTATATCGCAAGCGTCTTTTTTCCAGAAATTTCGTTTTATTTATGAGAGGTCACGATTTTTGCGGCAATCCGCCATCTTTTAAGAAAAGGGCTTCTGATTGGCTGTTGAATTGTGTTCGTGTTGATTTATGTGTGTAATGTTGTTGGTATTTTTTTTGATGTCAGGTATTTGTCGGATGTCGGCTGGTTTGAGTATTTTAGATTTCGGCTTACGGAAATCTTTAAAGATTTTTCTTGAATTTTCGTATAAGTGACAGAGTGTAGGTAATAGTAGGAATTTTTGAGATGTTAAAGTTTCTTTAATTAATTATAAGTTGTTTAAATTTTTTGGTAATATAGTTCAAGATTTCAGCATTTACTTGCCTATTTTATTTGAAAATCGATCATTGACCACTTTATTTTTTTTCTTATTACTTTTAATTGTTTTTGTTAACCATTTGATTATTAATCCTCAAATTTAGTAGTATAGATACCAAAGTCATTTATTTACCACCATACACATACTTCCTAATCCCGAACGAAACTGACACGCAATATAAATCAATTTGAACCAAACCCCATAACTTCCACAACAAAAACTTTTAACCATTAATATTAATAACACTTTTGTACTCGCATATACTACCGTATAACAACACACGCATTATGGACAAGATAACTCCATCTTGTTAGATAGAGACGAAAGATTTTCTTATGCAGGTGTGAAAGAGATGGAAATAGATATATGCAAGTCATGCAGGAACATAATCTGTATCGGTAATGATACGTCAATCAATATAGGGTAATGTTCCTGTGTTATGGGAAGATTCTAAGGGGCCCTTTACATTAAGCAAGTATGGTCGTGCGACTAAGTCGCATCAACTAGGAAATTTGCAGCTGGTTTTTTTTATGTGCTAGGACGGCAAACGAGCTAGCTGATTACCTGATAGTAAGTAATCAGCGCTGCCTATGGACACCCGTTACAATGGAGGAATAACGATATTCGTCGGTCGGTGCCGACCTTATGGGGATTAGGGTTTTGGAGATTGAGGCTATTTGGCGAGGGAAAGGATTGGGTCTCCGGTAACCTCACTAACACGGCGAAACACAATATTGTTTTATCACGCCACTTTTCTGGGGACTGCAGTATGACTACCGTCGAGCCAAACCATAAGTGGCGAATCTTGGCATCCCCATACTTACAGATAGATCGGGAACTACTGGTTCGAATTGAACAATTCTTTTTTAGTTTTTAAGTAAATTTATCGAGGCTGGTTAAAGGTTATAAATCACGCTACGATCTGTAGGAACCGAGCAGCGCGTTAAACGGCTCTAGAGAAACTAATACCAAAGATAATCTCTAACAATTAAAAAACTATGAAATAATCACCATAGGAAAAACTCGATGAAATAAAGTTAAAATAAAGTTCATCATCAGGACCGATAGTATTATTGCGTAAAATCATTTTTATAATGACCAGATCAAACTTTTCCAGGGTCTCTATGTAAGCACCATAATTGCCAAACAAATCGTGCGACTCTCAAGACCCAATGAAAAAGGTCCCTTATTTTGTATCAGAAAAAAATACATCTTGCTCCGAATGCATGGATTTAAGATGTTTAGAGAAAGTTCTGTCATGCAAGAAAACGAATTAATTATGTATGAGTGTGATGGGTTTTATTTTCGTAATGAGATTTATAATATGGGTTTTATAGATACTAAGTGAAAATATAAGAGTTTAGTCACCGTAAGCGCGGGGTCTACGGCGAGAGAGGGCGGTCAAGGACGGCTTTTTTTGTAGAGGGAAATTCATCAAATGATTTCTCTTACCCAGGGTATGATGAGAGGGAATGTCAGAATTTTATTGACTAACTTACTACTCTCGCGCGGTTTCACCCGTTTCTCGGCTCCATTTAATCGTAGCGTGATGTTTTATAGCCTATAGCACTCAGTAACATTGTAGCTATCTATCAGTGAAAGAATTTTGGAAATCCGACGAGCGGTTCCAAAGATTACCCCCTACCTCTTTATTACATTAGTATAGATTTGTCGTGGTGGCCCGGAGGTTAAGGAGCCCGCTAGTCATGCATGAGGGTGTGGGTTCCAAACCTGGCAAGTACCTATGTGACTTTTTCCGAGTTATATGTACTTTCTATGATTATTTAGACACCACTGACATACGGTGAAGGTAAACATTGTGAGGAAACCTGGACTTATAATTTCTAATTACAAGTTTGAAATCGCCAACCCGCATTGAGCAAGCGTGGTGATCAATGCTCTAACCTTCTCCGTATGAGAAGAGGCCTTTGCTCAGCAGTGGGCACTTACAGGCTGATGATGATGATGATGATGATGATAGATTATATATAGTATTATAGTATCGAATACCACCCCGTTTCTTCTTCTTTCGCTCCAGGCCTCAGCCACGATACCTAGCAGCGGTTGACTCGCGACCCCGGCAAAGCATTGGCTACGCAGTAATAATAAGATAATCTACCTAAGTTTAAGTTAACTTAAATGCAAGTCTAATAACTGTTTAACTTAGTTAAGTTATTGTTAACTGATCTAAGACTTTTGGACTAAGATTAAAGCTGAAGCGGTGATGCGCTTAATACTTACTTACGGGTTTAAGTTATTAAAACTTAAACTTCGAAATTTACGTTAGGTGTTTGTGACGTGTAACTTTACGTTTTACGTTAAGTTAAACAAAAATTCATTTTTGGAGTTCCGTACTCTAAGAGTAAAAACAGGAACATTTTTACTCTGCTCTCAGTCTGTCCCGTCTGTTTGTCTTGTCTGGCATCAAGTTGTATCTCATGAACCGTGCTAGCTAGAAAGTGTTGAAATTTAATGAAATGAAATGAAAATATTTATTTGCAGAGACATGGTAAATACAAAAGGTGGTAAAACAAAATAAGTCACTTAGCATATCTCGCCTTCAGTAGGCATGCGAAAATTAATAACATAAATAAATTAAACTTAGTAAGTAGGTACAGATCTATTTTCTACAATTAATATACTCCTCTATCGTATAGAAGCACTTTTCTATAAGCCAAGCTTTTAACTTCCTTTTAAATCTTGCTTTAGCTTGCTTAGCTCTCTAATCTCTTTAGGAATTTTGTTAAATAAATTAATTACCATCATTCTTCTATTTTTCTTATGTAAAGTACTTCTACATCTTTCCATTCTTAATCTTGTAGGATCCCTCTGTTTAAATTTGCAATCTTCACTAACTTTGGGATAAAGTTATTAAAATAATTGGGATAAAATTATTAAACCGATGATGTATATTACAAGAAATAAACAAAAAAGAAACAAAATCAAATCAATGCTAAAAGGAGGTTTCATGCAACCGGCTTTCCTTTTTTATTATTTATTTACATTATTGCTTGCATCCGTAAACCAAGGACCCTTGGACTAGGTACATAATGAGTTTGGGCTCGATAGAATCCATTTCTAATATAATAAATTCATTAAGTTTTAAAGAGATTGCGGTTTCGATTCCCGCACGGAACAACTCTTTGTGTGTTATCCACAAATTGTTGTTCCGGGTCTAGGTGTGATGTGTATGTGGAATTGTTGTATGTTTGTAAACGCACCCACGACACAGGACGAAATCTTGGTGTGGGGCAAAGTTTTTACTTAAAATAGTGTTTTAGTCTTTAAGTACGACTTTCTCCCCATAAGTAGCTTTCAATATTCTTAGGGCTGACTTTTCAATAGTCATATAAATATTATCTGAGAAATAAAATTGTTGCTGTCACTGTCTTATACAAACATTCTGACGCGACAGCATCATAATTATTCCCCAGATGACTTACCTATGTCTAACCATTGAAAAAGCACGTAATAATTTTATTTAACGCAATCCTGCGTCTCTACTATTCGTTTCTAATTCTATATTTAAACATGGCGTTGTCATGCCATTTTAGCTCAATCAATAAAGTAGATAAGGTTTATTTTTGTACATCATGAAATTGATAAATTTAAATTTTATTCTAAAATATAAATTAATACTTACAGTTGACATCAATAGATATGTTCTCTGAAACTGGAGCTATTAATGGATCCGTGACGGCCTGTGAACAAAATGTCAATAATTAATATTTTGAACCTTAGATGCATACATTTAAGATCCATAATTTATTACTCTCAGTGTCAATAGACTTTTATCTATTAATTTTCTTTAATTCGTACTGATATACGATTAGTATGTAGTTTAATAATCAGAAAACAAAAGCTGTTTTTTTTAAATCATTCTGTAAACAATTTCTTTCAAATATCAGTATTTATTTTTTGCAGTTTTTACACTGAACATTTTTATCCTTTTTTGTAGAATAGATCGACAAACGACCTGATGATAAGCGATCAATGCCGCCCATAGATACTTATAAACTAAGGGAGTTATAAGTGCGATGCAGTTATAAGCCTTTTCAAAGTTGTGAGGCAGAATAGGGCATTTGGGGATATAAAATTGGAGATTGGAGAGGATTACCCCTCCGGTCTAATCCGACCGAGACCAGATGTCTAATACTCTCCTATCTCCAATTTTGAATTTATCAAAAATGTTTGCTTGGTCGGAGACTCACACGGCGAAATTCAACGGAAGTTTTGCTTCACGGATTTTGACGGCACGGTTGGTGTGGTGGCTGGGCGACTGGCTGCCGTGCAACGTTCGCGGGTTCGATTCCCGAACGGAACAACTCTGTGTGTGATCCATGTATTGTTTTTCCGGGTCTGGGTGTCATGTGTATCTATGTGAAATTGTAAGTTTGTAACCACACTCACGACACAGGAGAAAATCCTAGTATCTCGCCAGTATTATATATCACTCCGGTCGAGCCAGGAAATTAGTGCTGAACATGGTTTTCTTAAACTTTTTCAAATAGGTTCTTACAATACTAAATTCAGTTAATCTTACCTGACAAGTAACATCAGTGCCGAAGTCAGATCTCTGGAGCCGAAATGAGACGGTGGCCCTTGCTTCTGAATTTGCAAGGAGTGCATGAGCCTTCCACCAGGATACCCTCGCTGTGGGACGACCTGGACAGATGATGGAATTAAAATTAATTTAACTTATATTAGTAAGCTAAACATAGGCCACAATTGTCACCGTAGGCTCCGAAAGAGATTTTTTTTGTCAGGGGAAATCATCAAATGACTTCTCCTGCCCGCTAAGGCGAGAGAAAGTGTTAGTGCTGGGCAAAGGCCTCCCCATCTCGCTTCCATACCTCCCGATCTTTTGGCCGTCTCCACCAGTCTCGACTATAGGCGTCTAGATCGTCACTCTATCTCTTCCGGGGGAGACGATCACCGGCCACCGTAAGCGCGGGTCTGAGGATGGCGAGTAAGGGTAGCTCGCCGCCCGACCAGAATCAGACCCGAGCATAGGGCGCGTAGCGTTCCGAGCGCGCCTCAAAGAGCCAATAGACCATCACATACGAAGCTCTACAGGGCTGATGTTCAGCCGGGGTTGCGGGGTAAGAGCAATGTAAAACAGGATAAGGAATTGGGGTGCTATAAGTCAGTAAGAGTCTGTACGAAGAGGCGTAATAATATGGCCTCAGATTTATTTCCAAAATAAGTACCGAATCTAAATAAAAGTTCAATTTAATAAGCTCCTTAAATGCTGTGACCGATTTACAAAAATATTTCCTTCGATACGTCCGAAATAAGTTGTGTAACTTTCGCACAAAAATTTTTCCACGAGACAAAAATAGACAGTCATTTCAAAGTATAACACCGCACCTACGTGTACACGCCCACATATATTTTTTATATTTTTACCTAGTAAGCCTCCCCTGCTTCACACGTATGTCAATTGCCAACGACACACGGGTCCAGAAGGTTGACTGGCAGAAAATGCTCCTAGCATTAAGTCCTCCGATATGCAATCGTATATAAAGAATGAATAAATAAATAAAGTATTTAAATGAAAAGTTTTTAAAACTATAAAATACTAAAATAATTCCTACTCTTTATTTGTCTGTCTCACTCACTCACATACTCTCTCATATCTCGGCGACTAGGTATATATAGCTGTCTTATTAGTCAGAAATTACAATCAATACCAACCAAAAAGGCCCTAATGCAATGAAACTCAGCCCCATCAGAAACAAGAAAACATCATTGGTGGTACAAGTTATTTCCTTGCAGTTGATTAAGTGAACACTAAACAAACGAGGCTAAAAATCCTTTTCATATATAGCAAATAAAAAAACCAGAAAAGTAATTTACAGTACCTTACACAAAGAAACCCCCGTAAAAAACTCGATACATCTTAAAACAAAAGCTCCAAGGACGTTACTTACGAGGTCAAAAATTCTCGGAAAAAGTCGGAAAAACTCAGTATTTTAGGCGGGGTACCCACATAATTACTGAACGGTTACAAAAGGCTAGACATAGTAGTATAATTGTGTATTTTACATTGTGCCCGTGAATGGCTTGAGTGAATAAAAAATTGTGTAAAACAATGGCGTACCCATGTCAAGAGAGGGTTTGGGGTGTGGTGTAATTTGAGAGAGCTAGCAAGAATTTTTTAGAGGAAAATAAAGAGATTCGTTTAGTAATTTTTGAAAAGAATGTGTATTTAACGCTAGATAAGTTCTGCCATTTCTCACGCGTAGATTAGTAGGAAGTTGTCGAATCCATAGTGAAATGTTAATTAAACAAACAAAGAAATCTTTCCTCTTTATAATATTAGTATAGAATTTTATATCTCTAACAAAACATGTGACTAAAAGATTATTTTACAAAGGTTCATACTGTTGATTTTTAGCACTTATTTTATTAGTAATACCTTTGTAACAGTTGAGCATATCGCCAAAAAAAATGCCAAGTATAATCCACTATAGCGTATATTTCAAATTGTCTGTATAGCATTAATATTACAATCAGATTTCAATCGCTTTGTTGATTTTATTTCAAAATTGAATCGACGACTTCAAGACCTTTTCATATTTTTTTTTATAAAAAAGATTAATATTTATCTCAAACATCACGCCATCCGCTTCAGCTTATGTCCTGCACCTGGGAGAAAATCGTGTGCGTGAATCGGACATTTTTCGTGAAAACGGAACACCCTAGGGTGACGGTTGATACAGGTTGGTGCAATCTTAAGCCAGCGCCACATACAGAGTGTTCGCAAATTTGTACCACAAAATTTTTTGTATTTATTTTTCGTTTTTAGTTTGAATGACCTGACCTGACCTGTGCTTTTTTGAAACGTTTTTAAATACTAAGTTAAGCCCTGTACGTTTTTAGTTCGGACGAAAAAATATGTATGTCCTAGTCCTTCACACCTGACGAAGACTTGTCTCTCACACTCTGATATCCCTTCACTCCAAAAATGACAGTCGTCAAAAACTCAGATTTCTATTCCATTTTTAAAATTTCCTGCTTGAAAAAAAATATTCGCGGTAATGTAACCCAAGCTTTACACGACACGTTTTGTTTTTTACAAGACGCGTGATTTTGAAGGCGCGAAATTGAAAAAGGTAAAGTGAAATGGCGACTTTGTTGAAAGGAAAGTTTATATATCGGACCCTAATGTCGAAATTTAAAGTTTTAGTTGTATTAGAAAAAGAAAAAGGGCAAATAGAAAATTGTTTTTTAAGTGAGATGAAATTGTTTAGAGTGTTTTTGTTTTATAAAAACAAAACACAAATTTGGTCTACAGTCAGTGATACTTTTGGATTTATATATCACTACTTAGGGCTGATTTTTCAATAGTTACATAAAAGTTATCTGCGGAATAATTATGATGCTGTCGCGTCAGAATGTTTGTATAAGACAGTGACAGTAACAATTTTATTCCTCTGATAACAATTATCTGACTATTGAAAAATGAGCACTAACTATGAAACAAAGTCGCTTTCAGTCCCTATATCCCTATGTATGCTTAAATCTTAAAAACGGCGTAACGGATTTTGATGCCGTTTTCTTAAATAGATGAAGTGGCTGAAGAGGGTGGTTTATATGTATAAAAGCATCCATTAAATATTGTAGACATTTTGTAACAGCGTTGCACCCATGGGGAGCTGGGACGAGCTCGCTATTACATTTAGAAGTGAAATTGTGAAAACATTTTTGCTAAAGATGGAGTTTCTTATTTGTTCTTCTCCTTACGGAATCTCCATTTTGAAACGAGCACCACACTAAAATATTGGCGTTTTAAAGGTGCATTTTTAAAGATTTATTAAAATACAATAAATGAACTTTACAATTAGGTACCTCCGCAAAAATCTCATTTAAATCTAAAAAAAACTCTCCTTATATGTTTTTAAATACATCCTTTTTTCATTCCATTTTTTCCCATAATACAACCTTTTACTCCTTGGACGTGCAGCTACATGTTTTCTTTTCTCCCTTCTAAATTACTTATTACACGGTTTCCTCGTCAGGGGTGCGTCGTGAACAAGCGTTTATTTTCTATATTATGGGAGCACGCAACGTGTGATTGACAGCCCTAGGGGTTGTTTAAAAGGATGGTATTTAAAAAAAAATGTCTTATTTTCTTGTTTTTTTTTTTGTAATTTGTCGGCAAACGATCAATTGGATTACGTGATGGTAAGCTATTGGCGTCTACCGGCAAGGTAGTCGTAAATCTTTGATGCTGCGGGTTTCCATACCTTGACGGATTTTGTGGATTCGGCGTGGTATACACGCGGGCGAAGCCGCGGGCAGATGCTAGTTATCAGTACTGTAAACTTTTTCAGATAAATAGACCTCATGGTAAAATTGAACAAATAAAGATAATATCTATACTAATATTGTTAAGAGGTAAAATTTGGAAGTTTGTATGTAGGGGGTAATCTTTGGAACCGCTGGTCGGATTGCCAAAATTCTTTCATTCTTTCACTTATAGATCTACAATGTTCCTGATTGCTATAGGCTATAAAACATCACGCTACGTTTAAATGGAGCCGAGCAGCGGGTGAAACCGCGCGAGAGTAGCTAGTTTATTATACATCCAAGGCAATTACAGAAAAAACTAAGCAGGAAGATAAAAGCAAATATCTAATTTTAAACATTTTTTAATATTCTTACCTCCCACAGCGATGCAGGTGAGATTGACCTCTGTTCCTTCGTCATAAGGTCCTAGAACCCCACCTCGGATCTCGTTGCCTTCGTGGTTCAGAACAATCAGACGTTCTGGAGGTACTGTGAAATAAAAATATCAATTAGGGAATGAATCTATTCTAATATTATAAAGCTGAAGAGTTCACTTGTTTTTTTGAATGAGCTCATCTCCGGAACTATTGGTTCGAATTGAATCTTTTTTTTGCTAAATAGATTATTTATCGAGGAAGGATTTTTAGGCTATAAGACCTACGACCAATAGGAATCGAGCAGCGGTTGAAACCGCGCGAGAGTAGCTAGTGGATAAGAGTTTAGGCCTTCTCCCACACACCGAAGTGCCGCCCTATAGGGCTGATGTTCAGTCAAGATTGTGGGGCAAGCACAATAAGACACCTTGGCGACAAGGGGTTAAGAGTCAAGCGAAATAACGCCCTCAACTTAGAGCGGAAGAAGGAACGGGGAGGTTTTTTTATAAAAAGTCGCCCCACACTAGGATTTTTCCTGTGTCCTGGGTGCGTTAACAAGCATACAAAGTCACATACACATGACACCCAGACCGGGAACAACAGTAAATTTTATTAAATGAACCTCGATTCCATTATTGCAAAATTAGACTTTATGAAACAAAACATAAGGACTTACTTAGCACAGTGAGATTCAGTCTAGTATTTTTGGTTGGCGATTTAATGAAGTCGACGCGACATCTGTACTGTCCACTGTCTTCAGGCCTGAAACAAAAACTTATTATTAGTACATTCATGTTAAAGAAAAAAATATAACGGAACAAAATGTGCGAGTGAGGCTACCTCCCTAGCTATACTCAATACCCTATCCCCCTAATTCTCAAGGTCGGCAACGCATGAGCAAGTGCTTTGGTGTCGCGCGTTTCACCACCATTAGATGATCCTTCTGCGCCTTGCCCCATAAAAGTATTCCATCCCGTTTAAATGTGGAAGAGCTAAGCTTCAGGATGAATGGGTCGGCTCCACCGAAGCGATACACCACGGCCTTACAGAACACCGGCGTGAAACAGCCACAGCGTTGTGTTTCACCATGTGATTGAGGTTATCGAAGGCTTTATTTATCCTTCTTTCCTTTTTCAATACTTAAATCTCCGAAACCCTAATCCCCAGAACGCCAGCCACTTCTTTAAATATTTTAAGTAGGTACAAGAACGAGTACATATTTATACACACATATGTATATACCCGCTTCTCATGCATGAGGGTTCTAAACCTGGCAAGTACCAATGTGACTTTTGCCGAGTTATATGTACTTTCTATGATTATTTAGACACCACTGACATACGGTGAAGGTAAACATCGTGAGGAAACCTGGACTTATAATTTCTAATTATGAGACTAAAATCGCCATTCCGCCTTAAGCAAGCGTGGTGATGAATGCTTAAACTTTCTAACTGTGAGAAGATGCCTTTGCTCAGCAGTGGGCACTTATAGGCTGATGATGATGACTACACTACAAAAGTGTTATATGTTCCTATGTGTATTTACAAATACATTAAATAAATGAATATAAAATTGGTGATGAAAGAGGACGCAATACCTTGTTCGACATACAGCCACTTAAAAATAAAACTCTTTTTAAAAAACGAAAACTAGTGACGTTCACACGAAAAGCAATAAAACAGAAGACCGATTAGAACGATAGTAGCGCTGTCATCGAATAGAAATCGATATCTCATATCGATACAATAAATTTTCTAAACCATTCTGATGCTACAAATTGATGGAACTAATCGAAACGTACCGATGCGATCCGATATATGAAATCGAGATATTGCTCCGAGTTATTTCGTTTTTTTATCGATACATGGTACCTATATGTTATGGTGTCGAATGTATTTTTATATCGATTTATCGGTTCAATGTTTCGTGATGGATTTTGTTATTGTTATAGTTTTGGCTTAGTGATTGCAAGTTTTATTTGTGGGTTGAGTAATTTATTTACTATTTAAAAAATAACTATACTACTTATTTTTAAATTTAATTTTAAAATTAACATTTACTATTAAAAACCGCTTTATTGAAACCGCTCTGATTTTGCGGGTGTCTATGGGCGTCGCTGATCGCTTACCATCAGACTCTTGATCCGAGGTCTCTTGGCAAATTCATTAAAAAAAATATTTCACGGAGTCTTTATATAGGACCGGTGTACGCCAAGAATATGTATGCTTCAGCTGTTAAAACTTATTTAACTTCTGTAGCCACCTTCGTCTAGCCATTTAGAAATCAACAAACGTACCATGCGTATTTTGTTCGAAACCACATCATCGTGATCATTAGTCGGAAGACTGAACAATGGCCTCACGTCAAGTCCTCGCGCTTGTTGAGGGGTGGGACTGATATGTACCTCGGAATTAACACTATGGAACAAGCAAATAGCTTCACTAAGAGGACTAACCGACATCTTTAAGTTTTGTTTGACGTTTATAAGTGTCTGTAAGGGTGTAATTGACTTAATTGAATTAAATGACTGCACGATTGGTGCGGCGGCTGGGCAACTGGCTGCCGTGCAACATGTCGCGGGTTCGATTCCCGCACGGAACAACACCTGTGAGATCCACAAATTGTAGTTCCGGGTCTGGGTATCATGTGTATGTGACATTGTATGTTTGTAAACGCACCCACAACACAGGAAAAATCCCAAGTAGAGCAATTTTTTAATAAAAAAAACAAATTGAAATAATTGTTTTTGAATTTGAATTTGAACCGAATCATCAGTAAATTTTTATGGAATGCTGCTGCCCATTTCTCGGTATCTGGTCACAGTTTTAGGATGTATATTTCAAGCCACGAATTGATAGGATTAATCGTAACGTATCGATGCGATGCGAAATACGAAATCGAGATATTGCTTCGTTTTTTTATCGATACATTTCAGTTATGTGTATCTAATGTATTTTAATATCGATTGGACGATCGTTTGAATATTGATTTTGTAATTGATTACGTAGTAGTGGCGTTGGTAAATTACTTTGGACATTATTGTAAGTATACATACAATTTTTTCTTATGTGACAAGACGTCAAACGAGCTGTCAAATTACCTGATGGTCAGCAATCGGCGCTGTCCATGGAAACCCGCAACAACAAACGAGTTACGAGTGCATTGCCGGCCTTTTTGGATTCCAAAAAAGACTCAATGAGAAATTTAGCCATTCAATCAAGAAGCAGTTATGCTCGCAAAGAAAGAGGCGGCCCGCGTGAGGGAGCAGTCCTCCTCCTCACGCCCCAGCCGCCGCAACCGGCGTCGGGGGTCAAGGGAGTAAGGGCAGCTCGCCGCCCGACCTGAACCAGACCCAAGCGTATGGCGCGTAGCGTTTTGCGGGCGCCTCAAAGAGCCAATAGACCACCACAGACGGGGCCCTATAGAGCTGATGTTCAGTCGGGGTTACGGAGCAAGCGCAACGAGGCACCGCGACCTCGGCCCAGAGCAGGAGAAGGAATGGGGGGTTTTTAGCCAGTAAGAGTCTGACACTCCCTCCATTTTCCCCTCAGAAAAAAAGCCATTTAATCAAACTACTAGCTGTTTAGGTTGGATGGGTAATTCAACTATTTGAATGCGATTTCTCGTAATAAAAATTAACGGGAACCTAGCTTAGAAAGAATGTTCTAGAATCATCTAGAAACTAAATAGCTGCACCGAATTTTGAACCATACATTTCCCGTCTTCAAGCTCTCGGAGTGCAGCAATACATCTTGCTAGCCTCCCAGAGGGCAATGTTAATGTTATCAAGTAAGGCACCGAAGCTAGACTTATCTTTAGACTGGAAACTGATTTAACAGGTCTTCGATACTGTGTTAATTGAAATCAAGGGTATTTTGATATAAAAGAAAGAAAACATATTATGTTAGGAAAGTATTTTCGCATTATTAATACACCAGCTACTCTAGCGCGGTTTCACCCACTGCTCGAGTCTTTTAGATGATGATGATGTTATATAGCCTAAAGCCTTCCTAGATAAATAATCTATTCAAATAAACAATTTATCAATTCGAACCATTAGTTCCTGAGATTAGCGCGTTCAAACAAACAAAAATACTACTTATAGATATATTTCGTAATATATAAATCGTGCCGTCAAGGCGTAAAACAACTACACACTGCATCGTGTTTCGCGTGAGTAAAGTTAATGGAAGCTTACTTCACTTTTCTTCCGTCCCCACTCTTCAAATCGCCTACAACTTTAATCCCAAAAGGCCGACAACGCATTTGTTACTCTTTTGGTGTTGCAAAGGACCAAAAAAAGAAAGTTTTTTAATTCGGTAAAGGAGCAGACGGATTACCTAATGGTAAGCAATCAGCGCCCCCCAAGGCACCCGCAAAAACAGAGGAATTACGAATGCCGACCTTTTGTGGATTAAAGATTTGGATATTTAGGAATTGGGGAACAGGAAGGATTGGGCCTCCGGTAATAAACTCACACGGCGAAACACAACGCTGTGGTTGCTTCACGCCGGTTTTCTGTAAGGCCGGTCGCGCCGACCTACTCATGCTAAAGTATGGCTTCCCACCCTAACATGTCTCTTGTCCATTTTTTATTCACAAAAACCTAAACAAAAACAATGAACTCGTTATCTCCACGCATATATTAAAGATGTCTGCATAAATAAATACATGTATACTCCCATTTTATTTGGAAATTCAATGCCTTTCAATTAGTATAAATAATCCTTCCCAATCAACGGTAAAGCAATTTTCCTCAGATTACCAATAAATCAAAGAATTTGCTTAACGTAAATAAAAGTTTATTTTGTTTTCCCTGTAGCACATGTTTGTTATACCTTTATTTTTAACAAGCGGCCCGCCCCCGCTTCGCACGGGTTTCTTTTTCCTAATCTTCCCCTCTACTTTTCTAATATTTTCTTTGATAAGAACCTTCTCCACACACAGAACACAACAAAAAAGGAATTAGCAAAATTGGTCCAGGCGTTGTTGAGTTACGCGCTTACCAACACATTTTGCGATCCATTTTTATATATAAGAAGAGATATGAGATCGTGTGTTATGTTTTTTATTTACAGATTTCACACATCACATCCCTTTACATCATTAGCCTGTGTGTAGTGCCCTATGCTGAGCAAAGGCCTCTTCTCTCAAGGATGCCATGAGCCAACGACTGACGACGTCTGCCAATGACGCATCCAGCCCCCAAGTGGCCGGAGAGGGAATGTCAGCCTATTTCTGACTAAAAACCACCCTTGCCTTCTTCTAATCCAGGTCGAGGCTACCGACATTATTGCTAGACATCTGTCTTATTCGTGGTCCCATCTGTGGAAGTCAGTTGACACCATTACCACAGACCCATTGCTTCAAGTAATCTCATTTACAAAACACAACACTGTGGGTTTCGCGCCAGTTTTCTGTGAGGCCGCGGTTTCATTTCAGTCGAACTGGCCCATTCGTGCCGAAGCGTTACTCTCCCACACTAACAAGTCTCTTGTCCATTTTCTATTTTTTATGTGATAGTTCGACAAACGAGCAGACGAATTACCTAATGGTAAGCAATCAGCGCCGCCAAAGGCACCCGCAACAACAGAGGAATTACGAATGCCGATCTTCTGGGGATTATCAATTTGGAGATATAGGGATTGGGGAGGGACAGGGGAAGAGGAAGGATTGGGCCTCCGGTAATCTTATTCACACGCGAAACACAACGCTGTGGTTGCTTCACGCCAGTTTTCTGTCAGGCCGTGGTATTACTCCGGTCGAGCCGACCTACTCATGCCAAAGTATGGCTTTCCCACCCTAACATGTCTCTTGTCCATTTTTTATTCACAAAAACCTTAACAAAAACAATCAACTCGTTATCTCCTTATTTCCTCGTATATATTAAAGTTGTCTGCATACATAAATACATAAATACTCCCATTTTATTTGGAAATTCAATGCCTTTCAATTAGTATAAATAATCCTTCCCAATCAACGTTAAAGCAATTTTCCTCAGATTACCAATTAATCAAAGAATTTGCTTAACGTAAATAAAAGTTTATTTTGTTTTCCCTGTAGCAAATGTTTATTATATGAGTACATTTATGTTTAACAAGCGGCCCGCCCCGCTTCGCACGGGTCCAACTATCTCTCTATCAAAGGGTTTCTTTTTCCTAATCTTCCCCTCTACTTCTCTAATATTTTCTTTGTTATGAACCTTCTCCTGACAATAACAAACACAACAAAAAAAGAATTAGCAAAATTGGTCCAGGCGTTGTTGAGTTATGCGCTTACCAAAACATTTTGCGATCCATTTTTATATATAAGAGATATGAGATCGTGTGTTATGTTTTTAATTTACAGATTTCACACATCACATCCCTTTACATCATTAGCCTATAAGTGCCCTATGCTGAGCAAAGGCCTCTTCTCTCAAGGATGCCATGAGCCAACGACTGACGACGTCTGCCAATGACGCATCCAGCCCCCAAGTGGCCGGAGAGGGAATGTCAGCCTATTTCTGACTAAAAACCACCCTTGCCTTCTTCTAATCGAGGTCGAGGCTACCGACATTATTGCTAGACATCTGTCTTATTCGTGGTCCCATCTGTGGAAGTCAGTTGACACCATTACCACAGACCCATTGCTTCAAGTAATCTCATTTACAAAACACAACACTGTGGGTTTCGCGCCAGTTTTCTGTGAGGCCGCGGTTTCATTTCAGTCGAACTGGCCCATTCGTGCCGAAGCGTTACTCTCCCACACTAACAAGTCTCTTGTCCATTTTCTATTTTTTATGTGATAGTTCGACAAACGAGCAGACGAATTACCTAATGGTAAGCAATCAGCGCCGCCAAAGGCACCCGCAACAACAGAGGAATTACGAATGCCGATCTTCTGGGGATTATCAATTTGGAGATATAGGGATTGGGGAGGGACAGGGGAAGAGGAAGGATTGGGCCTCCGGTAATCTTATTCACACGCGAAACACAACGCTGTGGTTGCTTCACGCCAGTTTTCTGTCAGGCCGTGGTATTACTCCGGTCGAGCCGACCTACTCATGCCAAAGTATGGCTTTCCCACCCTAACATGTCTCTTGTCCATTTTTTATTCACAAAAACCTTAACAAAAACAATCAACTCGTTATCTCCTTATTTCCTCGTATATATTAAAGTTGTCTGCATACATAAATACATAAATACTCCCATTTTATTTGGAAATTCAATGCCTTTCAATTAGTATAAATAATCCTTCCCAATCAACGTTAAAGCAATTTTCCTCAGATTACCAATTAATCAAAGAATTTGCTTAACGTAAATAAAAGTTTATTTTGTTTTCCCTGTAGCAAATGTTTATTATATGAGTACATTTATGTTTAACAAGCGGCCCGCCCCGCTTCGCACGGGTCCAACTATCTCTCTATCAAAGGGTTTCTTTTTCCTAATCTTCCCCTCTACTTCTCTAATATTTTCTTTGTTATGAACCTTCTCCTGACAATAACAAACACAACAAAAAAAGAATTAGCAAAATTGGTCCAGGCGTTGTTGAGTTATGCGCTTACCAAAACATTTTGCGATCCATTTTTATATATAAGAGATATGAGATCGTGTGTTATGTTTTTAATTTACAGATTTCACACATCACATCCCTTTACATCATTAGCCTATAAGTGCCCTATGCTGAGCAAAGGCCTCTTCTCTCAAGGATGCCATGAGCCAACGACTGATGATGTCTGCCAATGACGCATCCAGCCCCCAAGTGGCCGGAGAGAGAATGTCAGCCTCTTGCTGACTAAAAACCACCCTTGCCTTCTTCTAATCCAGGTCGAGGCTACCGACATTATTGCTAGACATCCGTCTTATTCATGGTCCCATCTGTGGTAGTCTGTTGGGTCTTTGAGGTGAACGAATACTTTGTGTGATCGACAATTTTTTATTCCGAATTTTTATGTGATGTGTATATCAACTTGTATATTCGTAAACTAACCAGAAAACCAAAGAAACTTAAGAAAATACTTATTTATCCGCACGCATTGTCCATTTACAAGGACAAATTCACTTACCAAGGTTTATCTTTTAATTAGAAATATTATAGTTAAACATTACGAAGTCTATTCAGTGGGCCTAACAACTCATTAGGGTGGCGCTTACACCCTTATAGCCCGGAGTTGTGTTTGGCCTTAATTAATACCACGTTTTAGGCCATAAAACCCTGTATACACGGAGTTATGTTCTGCACTGTTAGTTTATCTTTATAGTTAAAAGTTAGGGTATAGTAGAGGGATCACTTTGAGTGTAGATTAGGTTTTACATATTTCAGAGTGCTGGTTAATGTAAAATGAAACTTGTATGTGATTTAGGAATAATTTCGTTCAATCGCGATTTTTAGGGCTCACGTACCGCCGTGCTCGTTTATTTCCAGTATAATAGTTAGGTACTGAAACTGCGCCCAGGCCTCGAGCGGACGGCGCGTAGCGTTCCGCGCGTGCCTCAAAGAGCCAATAGACTATATGGGCTGATGTACAGCCGGGGTTGCGGGTTAAGCGCAATGGGTCACCGCAGCCTCTTTTCTTACCTTAATTTTGTGAGAACCAGTACTGCGGGTCTTGTGTCACTCCGGAAGGTCGCCCTTACTCCGAGGGTGGCGTCCGCCCAGTGTGACGTCACGCCCTCTCGTGTATCCAACCTGAGAACAAAGAGAGGAACGTTTAGTCGGTGTTCGATTCCCATGATTTTCAGCTGATAGGACAACAAACATTACCTGGGCCTCGAGTCTGCTATTACAATAGTGTCAGAATAGTAGATCATTGGTTGCAAAATTGTTGATTTTGACAAGTCTTGGCAATCTACTAGCACGATAGCATCATTATGACCTCCCAGTGCCACTTCATTGAAATAATTCTTTAGAACGGTAATCTCGTACATAATGATAAATGAATATTTGACATAATGCGGTAAATAAGTAAAAAAATGTCAGTTCATTTATTCAATGATTTACATTTACAATATTAATGTGCAGTTATTGTTTATAATTCTTTACAAGACATCTCGTACTATAATTATATTACGACATCGCCAAACGCCAATGATCACCTATTTTGAATTAACAGATTACGAACTTTTAGCAAAATGACAATGGAATCGTTTAAGAATGACAACACTTTGAAAATAGTAGACTCGGGCCCCTGATCACTACTTACTGAGACAAACGGACAGCGGAATCTTAGAAAAAGGGTTCATATTTGGAGTTACTAAATTACCACCACCATTATTTAAAACTAGATGTCCCCGCCCGCTTTTTTAAAAATGTCCATTTTACACATTTCCAAGTTTTTTTTATTTTATTTTTTCTGCGTACAACAACAACACCTTTTTTGGACTTCAACGAATAAAAGCCAAAATTAACCAAATCATTAAAGGTATTGTTGAGTTATAATATTACAATGAAAGTGGCATAATTTTTACGTCAGCCGGGGTTGCGGGGTAAGCGCAATTAGGCCGGCCTCGGCCCAGAGCAGGAGAAGGAAGAGGGGTTTTTAGTCAGTAAGAGTCTGACACTTCTTCTCGCCTCACACCCTGGGCGGGAGAAGCCATTTGATGATTTTCCCCTCACAAAAAAATTAAAGAAAGAAAGAAAGTAAGAAAAATAATTTATTTGGCATGAACAATTAGGAAAAAAAAAACAAAGATATGTACAATAATTACAATTAAAAAAAACGTAAACAACAAACTAATACAACAATGTTAGCTTAGGAACTAAAATAATATTAAAAAAAAAGTGCTTAAACAACTAAAAATTTGAATATAACAAGAAAGCAGCATACCCATGCCAAAAGGATTGCCATCTCAGTATAAGTTGGGCTCAATACGAACCCAACACTGGTTTTCAGTTGGCACCCTTGCGGTGACGTACGGACGGAAGCAACATAAATCTCAAAAAAAAAACAAAAAAATAATATACAATTCATGGATATTTCTAAAGTAAAAAATAAATAAAATTTATAAAATAAAAATAAAACCAATTATTTAAATAAAAACTAAAATATTACATATCATAAGCAATTTGCAAACCGTTAATAAAAAAAAAATACATATCATAATATTGATTTTTACTTATATATTCTGTTATGTCTGTTCTGTTAAATAAAAACTCTAAGACGTCACTACGACTACAGTCTGTATTATATCACTTAAAAACCAATATCAAAACTTATATCACCCTAGATTCTACTGATAGGAAGAGCTGTCCAAATAATACCAAAGCAATTTCAGTTTTCATAACACTTTAATAAGGTATATGTTACAATATGATATTTACTTTTCACTTAAACAGAGTGAAGTTAAGTTACCTTTGCCGAGGTTGGTTTTTGGATGGGTTACAGTTCTTTATTTGTGTTTGTTATCTGTCAAAGACGAATTCGATTTTCGGATTGGATAATAATTATTTTTATTACAAAATCTATTGAAAAAGATATCCTACTACATAAATATAAAAAGTAAAAAATATACATACCAACATTATGAAAGGTTTACCGACCCAGGAATCGAAATCGAGACCCGTTGCAAAATTTCTAACAAAATAAAAATATCAACTATTAGATATTTTAATCTAAAAAATATAATATCTGTCTAAACCTCTTAAAACAAAGCGTTATATTACCTCCCAAACAATATCAAACGACGAAAACGATACGCATTCACATAACGAAACCCAACAACTAACCACTCTATATCGTTAAAAATAACGATACAATAACGCGTTGAATAACGACTAATAAAACGGTTAAATAACTATTCGGTTATCTAAACAGTGCAGACAAACGGACCGCCGTACCTTCGATGAGTTGTGAGATTTAGGAAATTTACAGTAAAATAATTACGTTAATAGATTTTTTGAATTTAGTACGCACGCTACGCCATAATTTTAACGTTAGGAGCGTGAACGAAGCATGGTTTTCTATGATATGACATTTGAAGTCGAAAATGATGGAACATACTGAGCTGATGTATATTGAACAAGCAAAAGTATACAGGGTGTAAAAAGACACTTAACGAAGCCGTTAACTACGCAAATTGCAGTTCTTACTAAGTAGTTTTACGCTAAAATTATCACTAGGAAACGACTTTTATTTTTAGGTATCAAAAAATTTATAATTTTATTGCGCGCAAACGGGCTTCGTGTCATTGTGTACGTAGGTTCACAACTTAGCATTAAAACGCTGTGATAAGTACGTAGGTCGACGTTTTAGTTCGCAACAACAAAACAATTCTGTAAAATAAAAATCCTAATGAGATGCACGATGTTTTTTGTGCGGGTCTGCATTTATTTATTACGTAAATTACTGTTCGTAACTTCAAATGCGTAATTTATTCAGAAAAATCGAAAATTCAGGTAATGTTTGTTTGGGAAAAAGTTTCCTAATAATAGATACTTAGAATTCGATTGGGCAAAAAATAAAAATGTATCTTTGACCTTCAATATCTCGAGAACCCGCGGAGTCCCAGCTATGGCCTTAAAGAAAAAAATGATCCAAATAATGAGTAGAATACGTGGCTTTCGGATTTGTTAAGTGTCTTTTTACATAATTATTGTATACAGGATACAATAATTATTCATTAAATAAGGAAAAGTATATTAAAGATGTGATTTATAACTACACGCTTTCTCTGTCCAAATCTTTAAAACTACGCAACGTATTTTGATGCGTTTTTTTTTGCAATAAATAGAGTGATTTAAGAGGACGGTTTATATGTATAATAACATCCATTAAAGAGTGGAGTAATTTAGTATCAGCATTATACTCGAGCGAAGCCGACGTGGGTCGCTAATTTTAAAAATAAAATTGTATGTATAAGTATGAGAAGATATATTATTATCATACTTGCACATAGTATAAAAATAAATCATTGCTTAGTAGCTTGCTAGTCTTATTAAAAACCAAGGACGGCTAGATCGATTTCGGTAATTTAGGCTTCGAAAGTATTGTTGAAATCTAGGAAAGGTCACAAAACATTAGTTAATTTTGAAGCGGTACGTAGTTCGCTGGGCTAAATTAGTTTTTTGTATAAAAATAATTGCGAGAATATCTGCATAAATATGCGTCCATTTTTATTCGGTACAAGTTTTGCTTGCATATGCGGCCGTGGCATAACGCAAGCAAAGTATGGCTACAAATAATAAACTAAGAAGCCGGTTTTGTAATTATTCTTTTGAATAATCAAATACACGATACATATAAAATTTATATCTAGTATAGAAGTGATTTCATTTTAAATATATGGATTCAATGCATTTCAACAGCTCATTTCTTTAATAAATGTATATGTAGTTTTCATTGTAGTTAGTTAATTTATTGTCCAATAAACTTTTTAGTTAATGCGTAGATAGACTTTATAGAAATTGGTATAGAAGTAAATAAAGTTTGGGATTAAAAATTATTGAAATTATTTTGTTAGTTGTTTTCTATAAATATAATGTGATCGTATTTGTAATATTATATGTATATATGGACGTATTTAATTATGTGTTGGTTAATTAATTATTGAATGTAGTTAGAAGGGCTTTACATTCTTGAGGATATAGCATCGAAACCTGGTTAGTACCAATGTATCGGTATTGAATGATATGTACTTTGCTAGATAATCGACAATACTGATAAATGGCGATGAAAAATCGTAAGGAAATCTGGACCTTATAATTTTTTTGTTTAAGTTTGAAGTTTGAATTCAGCCGTCCAACTGTCCGTCTGTCCGTCTGTCCGTCTGTCCGTCTGTCCGTCTGTCCGTCTGTCCGTCTGTCCGTCTGTCCGTCTGTCCGTCTGTCCGTCTGCCCGTCTGCCCGTCTGTCTCCAACTGCAGCGAGACGCACGAAGGAATTGTTCAACTCAACGCATTTTTTACTTAAACAGATATTTTTCAGGACAAAATGTCTTGAAGTTGTTTTTTAATGGAAGTCTGAAACTTGGGATAAACAAGTGGAAATGCAATTAGTATCACCATCCGAGCTTGGCAGGATTCTTGAAGAACTTTTCCTAGTAATTTTTTTTGTATGTTTTTTTTTCAATCATTTGTTTATAATCTTGTGCTGCTTAAATCACAATGGTTATACACAAGTTATACACATTATTAGCCGAAAAAAGTGCAAGTAAAAGGGCCTCTTGTCATATTAAAGGTCAGGAGAAAATACTAGCGTGGGGTTAGGGTTATTTTTTAAAGTAAACTAACTACAATAATACTGGTATTTAGGGTTAATTTTTCAATGGTCAGCTAAATATTATATGAGGAATAAAACTGTTGCTGTCACTGTCTTATACAAGCATTCTGATGCGACAGCATCATGATTATTCCCCAGGTAACTTTTATAGAAAAATCAGCTTTAAGAATACTAAAAAGTACTCCATAAAAGTTGTTATTGTGTGAACTACGTTTTTGACCACGTGTTCTTCGTAATACAAACACACAACCTTACCACATATCGATAACACTCCAATTAAACGTAGTTCGTTAACCCTAAAATGCCAGGCAGCGTCATCTAAATCCCTTGATCACGAATAAGCCTTCGTATGAACAACAAAAAAAAAACAAAAACTTTGACAGCCGACAGGAAACGTTTGACATCAGTGACATGGGATCCAAATTGACAGATTATAAGGATTATACTTAACTAGTATTGTACGATGACGCTACTTGACTTTCGTTATATTTTTTTTTATGTGGGAACTAACAGTCGTGTTTTGTTTTTTCGATTTTTTTTAGGTTCGGTATTTGAAAAAGGATTTAACGGAATCCTTTTTGTGTGTTGGTTTGTCTGTCGGTAAATGTTACTAATAGCACCCTTTGATAGTTTAGTTTGCTATTTCTCATCTGTCTACTCTGAGAAGAAATGCCGAAACAAACTCAGAGGTCCTTAAAGGTCCAGACAAATT